GGGCCGCCCCCCCCCCGGGGGTGCGCGGTGAGGTGCCAAGGCAGGGGCGTGAGGGTCTTCCAATGGAATATGGCACGCTGGACATAATTGCTGTAATGCTTGAATGATAACAAGCCTCCAGTCACTAGGTGGCAGCAACTCGGAGGAGGAGGAGAGGGAGGGAAAATTAGGTCTACTTTGGCAGAACACCAAACATTTTTTCTACGACGAATTTAGGTAAAGAAAACAGTGATGTTATGTTGTTCCGTTGTGGAAAAAAAAAGATGATCCCAAGAATAAAAAAATAAAAAAATTACGGTCAAAATTCCCCTAATGGAATTTGCGAAAATATATGACCAGGTAAACTTTGCATAAAATCGGAACAACAACGATTACTTGTGCTCATTAAGGGTCTTACATGAATTAATTTTGGATAGCTATAGCCAAAAGTTCATGAACTCTAACCTAACCCTTCCTCAAAAAAGGGTGACCGTCGTAGTCCTAGCATCTTTTTCGGAAACGTGGTTTCTCTGCCACGATGGCCGAGACTTTTTTGACAGTCTGAATGTAGATGTTGGAGGTGAAGACAGAACATTGCTTTATTGAGTCTGTTCAGTTTCTTCTACTTGCGCAGGGTGGCCGAGTACTCGTACGGCAACCAGAAGAAGTCCAGCAAGAAGAAGAAGCTGAGCAAGAACGACATCCGCCTGGTGCCGCGAGACGTCGAGGAGACGGACAAGATGAACGTGGTCAGCTGCTCCTCGCTCACCTCCTCCCTCAACTACTTCGACTACCACCAGCAGACCCTGCCGCTGGGCTGCCGTCGCTCCGAGAGCACCTTCCTCAACGTGGAGAACCAGAACTCCCGCAACACCGCGCCCAACCACGGCTATCAGCACCCGTTCAACGGACAGAGCCACCAGCAGCCGGACCTCATCATCAACGGGATGCCGCTTCCAGAGGTAAGTCGTGACAACTGTGGATGAGTGGAATCACGATAGAGTTCGGAAAAAGGCTGTGTGGGAACTTGTCCGCGTCACTGGTTTTATTCCGAGGGGATACTAAGGACGCTGAGTTTCCATGTGGACTGACGTGTTTGTTTTAGTTGTTTCGGCCATTTTCAGTCAAGTCGGTATTAGCTAGCACAGACATGGGCAAACTAAGGCCCAGGGCCCGATGCGGCCCGTTTGGCATTTGAATCCGGCCGGCCAGACTTGTCCAAATTCTCCTATAAATTTTCTATCATCATTATACCTCTGCCTTTTCCCTGCGATGCCTAAATTTCCCAAACAGATAGCATAGAACAGGCTAAAATCTTTTTTAGCATGTTAGCATTTACAACATTTATCCTGGTACGCACAAACGCTCCATCTATCTGTTCCCGACGTGTTGCACTCTCTTTTTCAAAGTTGTCAATTTCAATCTTTAGGCTCGGAATCACAAAACTGCGAAGTTAGTGCAAATTAAAAAAAAAGTAAACAAACAACAACCTCACAATAGCGTACTTCTTCTTTGTTCGCTCTAAGCGATTTAATTGCAATTTTAATTCAAAAACTTTCAAGGTTTTAAAAGTAAATAAACATGAAGGGTTTTTTTTTTGTTGTTGTTGTTGTTTTTTTTTTCTTAAACTTTTTTCTGGTCTCAAAAACTGCGACCTGCTCAGCCGTGCTGCGTCTTTGTGCCGCGGCTTTCAACACGCGGTCAAGGTCTGCCGGTTTTTAACATTCCATCATTCCACGGATCATGGTGTCGGTGAAAAGAGAGGCTGCTGTCGCTGTATGAAGTGGAAGTGGCGCGGCAGAATCCTCTGAGGCGTTTCACAGTCTGACCTGCATATGTGTGTGCGAGTGTGAGTGTGAGTGTGTGCGACCAAGAGCTTGGCTCAGCAGAATCTGGACGTCTGACAAAGACCATTATTTAGCCTCTTAGTCCATGTACAGTATTTGCTCTTTTTTTTTATGAGCTGAGCTTTTTTGAATCTCACCTCTGTGTGTATGAGTGTATCTGTTTGTGTGTGTGTGTGTGTGAGAGAGAGCACCTGCTGCCTTTATTTACCCTCCTAATCACTACAGCACATGACGTTCCGGCTTCTAACAGAGAGAAATTCTGGATATAGATGCTGTTTTGGGTTTTTATTTAACAGTGATGTCCACACGTTTGGTTCAACCAAGGCTAATATTGAGCATCGCTAATGAATGACAGCATTATTTTACCGTAATTTCCGGACTATAAGACGCTACCTTTTTTCACACACGCTTTGAACCCTGTGGCTTAAACAATGACGTGGCTAATTGGTGGATTTTTACGGGCTAACGAAGTTCATATCGCTAGCGATCAATGACTTTTCTGGTAGGCTACTAGCTAAAGTTGAGAGCAAGTTTGAGCTCATGTCGTGTTGAAGTGTGCGTTGGTTATACAGGAGCTGTTAACCTGTCATGTTGAGGTGTGAGTTGGTCGTACAGGAGCTGTTAAAACTCTGTTTATGTTCTGTTGTGCTCAGGGTGGCTGATAATAAAGATCCCAACTTCCCTGTTTCTGTTTACCTCTGCTGTGGATAAAACACACAAGTGAAGGGAGTTAGCCCCGGAGCTAATGCTAGCTTTGAATTTAGGTGACGGAGGTTGTGACATGGAGGTGGGCGACGAGGGTAAGAATGAAAAATACATTTTGGGGATTTTTGCGCATGTTAAGATTTTTACATTACATCCTACATACAGAAGGGAGTTAGCCCTGGCGCTAATGTTAGCGTCGGACCTGGAGCAGAGCACTAAGTCTCCCCTGTGCATTCCAACAACGGTCGGATTGTCGAAGCATTTAACCAAATTATTTCGATTAAAAGTGAAAAAAAATGTAAATATCCCATGTTACATTGCCGAAGCATGTAACCAATTTATTTTTGATTAAAAGTGAAAAAAAAAATGTAAATATCCCATGTTACATCATGGAGACCTGCGGCTTATAGAGAAGTGCGGCCTATATATGTACAGATATTTTTTTCTTCGTAAATTTAGTGGGTGCGGCTTATATTCAGGTGCGCTCAATAGTCCCGAAAACCCCTTGCTCTGAATATATATCTGACTATCATGGATCACAGGAAGGTTCGGATTTCGGTCACAGCAGTTGTTCTCTTCTGTTGGGTATGGAGAAATGTCAGGACAGAGCAACAGAAAATAACTGACGGAAAAAGAGGATGTGATAGAGCTAAAGTTATTTATAACCACTGCAAAGGTAAAAAAAAAAATGTTATCAGCGGAGTACTCAAAGGCTGAAGTATGACTTACAATACGCAACTGTTAACTTGGAAGGTTGTTATTGTTATCATGGTGGCTCTGGACTTTGACCATAGAGGTGGATTTGCATTTGATTTGGTTACATCGTAAACAAGAGAAATGAAACACCCTGTTTGTTTACAACGTTTGTTCAGTCAGTTTTCATTGTTATTGCATTGTCAAAAAAAATAAAAAATAAAATAACAGTTCATTTTGAAAAATGACAGTAATTATAATAATAATAGTAAAAAAAAGAGTTGTTTTTGTCGCCTTATATCAGTTTTGAGAATTACACAGATTTTTATTTTTTAGGCTAAAATGTCAAAATAGAAATCTAGAACAAAACTATAATTTAAATAATATTCTCAAACTAAAAAAAAATTCAAACCAATCTTGAGTGATTAAATCTAATAATATTCTCAAACTTGTGATGCTAAAAAGTGAGAAAGTAAAAAGTAAAAAAATTCAAACCAATCTTGAGTGATGTTTTCCTATCCTGCTGGTTAGTATATATTATATTACATCATATTCTATATTCCATACGATACTTGTAATTTAAAAATTGAAGTGCCACAATATATTTCTAGGGACCAACATCGACCCCGAGGCCATAGTTTGGCCTTGTCAGTTCGGGTTTTTTGGAAACGCGTCTAGCGCTGCAGCAGAAAGAATGAGGCGACAGAGTGAATGTTGATCAGTTGAACTTTAGTTTATAGATTTTTTTTTTCTATTTATGAACTGCTGCTCAATTGGATTGTGTATATGTGTGTGTGTCCCACTTCCCGGCCCCCGGGAGACACAGGGACATTTATGTAGGTGTGTGTTTATTTAAGACCGCGGGAGTAACGAACGAACACACACGCGCGCGCACACACACATCTGACACATGCTCGCGCCGTGGTAATTGATGACTCCAATCTGTGTTTGACATTCAGGCGGGAGGAGGTGGAGGGTGATGGAGGTTGCTGGCGGAGGAGGTTCGGAGCCGAGGACGGTTATCGATGTTATTGAGCGCTTGATCCGCAGAGATCAGGGCTCCTGTGGATCCTGCGGCCGATGAGACCTACTTACAGAGCAGCTGATTTACTAGACCGGTCGCTTTGTGTGCGGCGTCCCTCAGGGACGCAAGTGAACAATCGTGACTGAGGCTGCGCGTTCTTTCGAGAAAAGAAAGAAGAAAAAACACACAGGTGGAGATGGGGAAACGGCAGTAATCTGGTCAGCTCCGAGATTTAGGAGCTATTTTCAGTGACCCGGATTCTGGAACTACACATGTTCCCAGTTTAAGGAAATTTGGTCAGGTTCTAACTTGTAAGATATTCCTGGGTTACTTTTGGTCTTCTTGCGGTCATCCTTAAGATTTATTAAAGACATATTGACATTTCTGGTGTTTTAAGCTATGGATAGTATTTTAGTCTGTGTCTAAACCGTGCAATAAAAACAGGATCTGGTGCCGGATTAGCAGAGGCTAGCGTGCTTAACATTCATCTTCCATCCCTCTTCGTCGTCTTACACATGGTTTCAACAAACAGCTCTTTGACCCGGACTCTGCATATTTTAAACGAGAGGGAAAGTGCGAAAAAGCCGGTGAGGAATCCTTTAAAAAAATGCTCGGCTGCGAGTCTCATCTTTTTTGACTGATCTCTGTTTCCTTCATTAAATCTCTGCGAAAGTAGCCGTACCTTTTTTCCCCAAACCGAAATTCGAAGGTAGCACCGAGTGAGGGAGCGATTATAGTAAACAGCTCTTCTTTCCTCCTCATTGTGACGTTTTCATCAGAGACGAGCTCTGTGACTCAACGCAACGCGGCGGGTTACACGAGAAGTGTTTTTTTTGAACAATCAGAAAACCATTTCGCGTCCAAACAAACAGCAGTGAAATGACCGATAATTGCGTGATGGTGAGCTGGAGGTTCAAAAGCACTTGACTCGTTCAGTCCTCGGCCTGTGTTTTCCTCAGCCGCCCCGAACACGAGTGGCGGCGCTGCGCTGATTACGCCGAGGCGGCTTTGTCCCGAAATGTTTTTCATTTTATCCTGAGGGGCAGGCTCCAAATTATCCGTGATTCATTTATCCTTAGCGGAGGAGAGTAGGTGTTGTTTTTACACCCCCCCCCCCCCCCCCGGTTTATTTGTGTTTCAAAATGATCGCATTCATCAGAACGTGAAACACTAATTCAGCTTCGGTTTCGATAATGGAAGGAAGAGAGAAGGTACGGGTACTTTTGTAGTTTTTTCGAATTCATTGATTTCTCCTGCGGTGCGGCAGAGCAGCTGGAGTCATGATTTAGGTTCCTTACGTAAAAACCTAAAGTAGATATTGGCAAAAAAATTAGCCCTAAAAATGCTTGAAGCTAAAAAAAACAATAGCTAAATATTAGCACTGCTTCTGCCAACTCTTCCTCATACTCTGCTTCTGGGACAAGATGCAAACCCGTTACGACACGACGTGCCTCAAACTCCGGCCCGGGGACCAAATCTGGGCCGCGATGTAATTATATTTGGCCCGCGAGATAATATCAAATGTGTACTAGAGTTGGCCCACCAGTATATAACCAATATATACTAGCATGATTTGCAGTATTAGTGGTGTATGCGTTATGTTATGGCACATACATTTTGTTTTGTTTTTGTCGTTGGCCCGTGGAAAAAAAAAAAAAAAGATTTACATTCAAATAGAACTGGAAAGGCTACA